TTCCAAGGATTTGTTTTATTTTATTTTTATTTTCAACTTTTCCTCTAATATTTAATCTTAAGGGGAAAATAAAAAGGAAATTTCTACAATCCATTCTTTGTTTGGTTAAGAATATATATATATATATATATATATATATATAATAAAACACCTAACTCAAAATAGTTTCCATTACGAAAAAAAAAATATTATTACATCCCAGACTTACATATGCAATATTTTACTTTTCTATCTCAGTTGACAAAAAAGCTGCAGCATCTAGATTCCGAAATTCACACACCAAAATACAGTTAATTTATTTAATATGATCCAAGGCTTATATTGTATTGATATGATCTTATTTATTTAGAGTTATCCTTACCCCATTACATATGAGAATAGGGTCAGCTAATTTTTATTTATTTAGAGTTATAAATTCTAAATTAAGATTTAGATATTAAAATAGTATATTTAAAAACATTTAAATATGACGTCATATAATATTTTTTAATTGATCAGATGACATTTAAATAGATAAAGTCTAAATTTTATGTGAATATAAGTGAGAGCATTCACTCAAACTTCTCTGATATTTTTAAATGTATTTCTCTTCCTTTGTTGTTTTGACTCTAGTATCAATCGAAACATTCATGCTTAATGTTTTAAAACTTAGATGTCCAAATCAATCGAGAAACGTATAAGTTCGCATCCATCCATCAAATAATTTTCTTTAATTTGTTGTGATGTCAATGTATATGCTATATTTACTTCTGTAATAAATATCAAACTAATCATTTTTTTATTAATTATGTCTCAACTCATTTAATATCTTTTTCGCTTTGTCAATTAGGAAGACATAATGTTTTTTTCTCTATACAATACTTAAACTAAACGTAATTCTTCAAATCTTTAAATTGAAAGTTACATTGCTTTTAAATATATTGAAATAATATTAATAATAATTAAATTTAAATGATAAATAACATAACTTAAAGGTACATGAAATTTCAATTTTCTCTTATTCGAAAGTTAAAAAATGATGGATATTTTTAACTTTGTACGAAAAATAATTTAGAAAAAAATCAAAGAAAAAGTATTTGGATAAATATGAACTGACTTTTACATGGTTTTACGTGCATAGACTGTAGATTCTGCGGGCAACTCGACAACGATAATTAATTACCAAGAAAATTCGTACATAGAAAGGTAATTAAGGTCGTTGTTTATTTTTTTGACCGATTAATGAAGGTCGTTGTTTAAGGTTAGGTATTTGATTTGATTTTGAAATACTGTTTGTTTGCTAGTTAATGAAAGTATGCTTTTGTGCTATAAATTGCTGAATTTCGTGACCCTAAACTCACAAAAATAATCAAGGGGCGAACTGAAGAACACTTCAAGACAGCAAATATCTTATTTTTAGAGAGAGATGAGTTTACAGAAGCTACGTATTGTGCCATGGTTGCTTGGGATTTTATGTCTTTGTAGCCTTTGCATGGCAGATGCCCATCACTATGACTTCTTCGTAAGTACTTGCTAATTTAAGTTTGCATTTGCTTCATTTTTAAATATAATTTTACGCCGGTTCAATATTGATATCGTTATTATTGTAACATCTATGATTGGATAGGTCCGAGAGGCAAACTTTACGAGGCTGTGTAACACAAAACCAATGCTGGTCGTAAACGATAGTTATCCGGGTCCGGAGATTCGAGTTCACAAGGGAGATACTGTGTTTGTTAATGTCCACAATCAAGGATCTTATGGCTTCACCATCCACTGCTTATAATTTATTCACCTCTCTTTTGTTGTCATCTCAATTCTCATCCCCTAAAGAAAATTCTGCTTTTAACATCTATAGGCATGGTGTGAAACAACCAAGAAACCCATGGTCGGATGGTCCCGAGTACATAACGCAGTGCCCGATTGCAACCGGAACAAACTTCACTTACGAAGTTATATTGTCCGATGAAATAGGAACACTGTGGTGGCATGCACATAGTGATTGGACTCGAGGATCCGTCCATGGCGCCTTCGTCATTCTACCGGCCGAACACGAAACTTATCCATTCCCCCCGCCTGATGCAGATCAGACGATCATTCTTCGTAAGTAGATATACTAGTTATATGCACGTCCATTAAATGGATGGACCAAAAAAACAAAATAACATACAAATTTGTGTTATTGTGTTCAGAATCATGGTACAATGAAGACTTTCTTCAACTTATACGGAATTCACTTTTAACTGGTCGCGCTGTGGGAACACCAAATGCTTATGCTATTAATGGGCATTTAGGAGACACATACGGATGTAATGGTACGTATAATGTCTATTGTGCGATCGTTATACTTATTGTTATCTTCTAACATTATGTTTGTTGCAGATACGATATTCCGAATGGAAGTTAATTACCAGGAGACATACCTTCTCCGTATAATCAATGCCGCCATGAATGAAGAGAAGTTCTTCTTGATAGAAAAGAGATAAGACAATTGCTATGATAAACTGGAAGAGAGAAGAGGAAAATTAAAGCTGCAGAAAGAAAATGATGTAAACTGAAGTTTTACTGAATATTTGAAAAACGAATACAAAGTTCATAAGCTACAGAAAGAGTACTTCATACTTAGGTCATGTATAGTGGACAGGTCCACTATATATAACACAGGGCTTAACTAATTGGCCCAACTAACAGAGTTCAGTTATAACAACTTAACTAACCAGAAACGGTTACTGCTCATCAGCTGAGGACAGCTGCATTATTATACTCTAACACTTCTCCATCGCTAATCACACCCTCATAGTGGTTGCACAAGATGCCTCTTATGTTAACAGGTTTGCAACCGACTATATAATGATTAGTCCTGGACAAACCATGGATGTTTTGGTCTGCGCCAACCAAAACATCGGTCAGTATTACATGGTAATGAGGAATTTCCACGACAGCGGTGCTTCATCTAACAATAGTATCACTACTGGTATTTTCCAGTACAAAAACAGTATTGGTGGATTGAATACTAATGCTTCCTTGGTGAAGTTGCCCCTACCGGATGATTCGAACGCCACGAATAGCTTCCTCCGTCGGATTAGGAACACGAGAATCAGTCAGAACCCGCGGTTCAACGTGCCGAGACGTATCGACAGACGAGTCTACATCGCGATCTCTACAAACTCCATTCCTTGCACGAACCCGGAATGTTTTCCTCTTCCTGGTAGAAGGTTTGTCGCGGCTTTGAACAATGTCAGCTTCGATTTCCCGTCTATCGACATTCTCCAAGCGTACTACAACAGGAGCACCGATGGTGTTTTCACAACCGATTTTCCCCAACGACCACCGGAATTCTATAATTTCACCGGCGATTTGGGCGGTGTCAACACCAATGTTACGATGGGGACAAGGGCTGTTACGCTAAACTACGGTGAAGCCGTCGAGATTTTTTTTCCAAGCAACCCAGTTTGGCGGTGGAGGAAGTCATCCACTTCATTTGCACGGCTTCAGCTTCTACCGGGTGGGAACTGGTTCAGGAAATTTAAATAATGTCACTGATCCGAGGTCCTACAACCTGGTTGATCCACCACTCATTAACACTGTGCATGTTCCTGCTAGAGGATGGGTTGCACTCAGGTTTTTTGCAAACAATCCTGGTACGATTTCGAAATTAATTCAAGAAATTAAACTCTTTTAGCAAAGCATTAGAGTCATTTAACTGATGTAAATTATTATTTCAGGGGTTTGGTTTATGCACTGCCACTTCGAGAGGCATAGTAGTTGGGGTATGGACACCGTTTTCATTGTGAAGAATGGAGCCACCGCGAAAACAAGCATCCGTCCGCCACCGGCCTCTGGCATGCCTGTTTGTTCCGGAGACTAGAAGAAGTAACATCAATGAATAACTAGTTTCGGAATTGAGTAGATTTAATTTGGAATTATTAGTGTCAATAAGATCATTTGTCATTTGAAAATGTAGCCTTATACATCATATATTTGATTTCTCAACAAAATAAATCATGAAGTTTTAGGGACATTTTTTATGGCTTTTATGTCATACGTTAGTGTGTAATTGTGAATTTTCTCTTTGTATAAAAAATATTTATGATTATCGAAAACATTTTTTTAATGTGCAATTCTCAGAAATAAATAAAATATCAGCATAATAATGGAAGTATATTAATGTTTCATTAAAATCATAGAGGGTAGTCTATTCACCAAATTACTTGAAAAATCTATACATTTGAGTCTGTCCAGTTATAAAAATGCATTAATGAATTGTTAGATGAGCTGAAGATATTGCCGAAGACGGATTCCAGCTAAATGCATCCATAGTTGACTCATATCTATCATGGGATCTTTTCGTGTCTTAACTCGGATTATCGGGAAAGGAAAACAATTTGTAGGAAATGGAACAATTTCTAATTGCGTGAAAAACCTTTATCACCTGTTTTCTTCTCAATTCTCCCATGTTTATCATCCACTAACTTCAATACAACAATGGGCTTATATCTTTTCTTTTTTTTAGTTTTGTTTGCTTCTTTAGCCATACAAAATCCCAATCCTTTTTTGATCCTGTTTTTCCATCCGGGTTTCTCTTTAAATACAGAATGATCACTTTAACAGACCTTTACCATGTCCTCATCGACGTGTTACCACTCTACGTGGCCATATCAAAAACTCTTGTTATCTTAAGGGCTAAATTGATATTTAAGCCAAAATTATCTATGAACAGTCCAGAACAAAGCTAATTTTACTAGCATATCATTCAAAAACTACAATAACTAAACAAAACCCCACTAGCAAAGGATAATAAAGTCAAAACAATGAAGTGTAAACCAATTAGAGTGTAGACTCAGATAGCAGTAGGCCCTCAAAATGTATTATGTCCTTTTTCCCTTATCCATTTTCTCAAACTCCATCGAGATTATCCCCCAACGGCTCTTCATTCAATGTGCCCACTAGCCGTTACCCTGACATTTCCATCCTTAAAAGCCCTCAGCTTTCCTCTGCTTTCTACTCAATCAATACCAACATCATTTTGATTTCAGCTCACAGTACAGCTTTCAATGGCTAAAGCATCGGCACTTCTCTCTCTCTTTTTCCTGCTCTTTTCCTTCATTCTAGGTACTTTATTCCGTTACTTTTCCTTCTTCTAGGTTTCAGACTGTCATTCCAGGTAGTTTACTCGGTTGCTTTTGTCCCGTAGGTGGAACTTCGGTGATGGCAAATGGGCAGAAAAGTTGGTGTGTGGCTAAGCCATCATCGGACCAAGCAACACTGTTGGCAAACATTAATTTCGCATGCTCTAAAGTGGATTGTCGCGTGATGCAAAAGGGTTGTCCTTGTTTCAGCCCTGATAATCTGATGAACCATGCTTCCATTGCCATGAATCTTTACTACCAAGCCAAGGGAAGAAACAAGTGGAACTGTGATTTCAGAGGCTCTGGTCTTATTGTCGTCACCAATCCAAGTAAGCCAAACGCTTTTAAATGATTCAACTTTATTTCTTCTAATTTTATATTTTAATGTGCTAATATCTGTGCTTTTGTGCAGGTTATGCTGACTGCATTTATGACTGAACATGGGGTGTGGTTTAAGCAGTTTTATATGTGATTCTTTTTTAGGGAAAATAAGGAAAACTTGTAGCTCAAATAATTTTTTCAAATGTATGTAACTAAGTAGAGATTATTATATTTGGGGGGAAATAAATTGATTTTGATTGCTGTTTATAAAATTAAAAAGTTGCAGCATCAAGGCATACGATAATTTCCTTACGACCCAACTTTTGGAAACCTTTACGGGGAATCAAGTCGATAGACATCCATAGCAACCTTTCGGCTTTAATCTCCTTTCTTGCTCTGTTTCATGGTTAATATCTTTTATTCATCTTTATACGGTCTTTATAGAAAATGAGAAAATAATTCAGGATATTTGAGAATATCTTGATATTCTTTTAGGTTGTGATATCATGAATTTATTGATTTGTATGTTAAAATTATCTTCGTTGTGGATAAAAATAGTCATCCTTATATATCTAATATCTTTCGAGAATATAAATTTAGGTATTTGAATTTGAATTACAAAATAAAGAATATGTTTGAGATTAAAGGACTTTGATTATCTAATTTTCAATAGATTTAAATTTGTATGGTTTAAGATATTCAACATATAATTTGTTAAGTCTTCATAGGGCCAAAGGGTAACCTGCCAAGGAACAAGGAGATTATCGTGCTTTGGTCTCTACTTTAACATACACTGCCGCCATTTAAACAGTTCATAAGCTGAAGTATACAAGCATAATTCCAGTAAAATTTCCAGCAGGTTTATAAGCTGCAGCTACATGCAGAGTTGCATCACTTGGCAATTGGATTGATGGATCTTATAAATTGATACTTGGCTCTATAAAACCACAATTGACGTTGTCAGAGTTTCATCCCAGAACAGGAAATAAGAATCCAACAATTCGATACGACTGTTGGCTTTTTCATACCCAAGTTTCGTACAATTACTTTCACACAATTGTTATAGCAGACAATGGTTCTGGTTCAGTTAATTTCAATGTGCGGTCTGCAATATTCTTTGAACAAAACATCACCATCTTCAGTTTTCGGAATGTGGTAGGGTCAATGAAGACATTAATAAAGAGTCCAAAGTGTGTCATTTATTTACACTCCCATCCTTTGGATTCTTCAATAATCCCAAAGAATATACAATTTATTTTGTCATCACCCCCATTGCATTACTATTTGTTCTCATCCCCTTTCAATCCAATAGTACTTCAACTTTGATCTCCACTTTAATTTTTGGATGTACGATCTTTGAAGAACTCTGTTAATCTTAGAGGATGATATACAATTCAACAATTACATCAATTACGATGATTTTATTTCTAAGATAATGATTCATCCACGACACAATCAAACTTCATTTTTATTTCTTGTTCGATTATTTTATCCTATCATTTCTAACAATTTGTTTTGCACTAGTACCAATATTTTCGAGATAATGTCATTACTTAGTTCAAATGATAAATATTATTAACAAAAGTGAAAACATAAATATTTCTGAGAGGCAAATTTTAGTATGTCAAAATAAAAGTTTACTATTGTAGTAACTTGTAATTTTATAAATTTTGAGGGAATAAACTATGATTTTAACATTTTCGGGGAGCTCTCTCCTATCCCAATGACAACCTAATTGTTAATTACTGTAGCTAAAATATTAAGTGGATACACGTCATGAATTAAAATGGCACTTCTAAGAAAAAAATTACATTTGCTAATGAAATAAACTATATCAAATTAATTTATAAACAGTGACAGATCTACATCGTAATTAGGGTAGGTATGTGCTCACTATGAAATCCAAATTTTCTTCGGTTAGTTACTTATTTTATTTATGTGCCCGCTTGAAATTTTATTTATGTCAACCTCTTACAAATTTTTTGTATTGTTAACATATATGTGTCTACTCTTAAAAATATTTTTGAATATGTTACTATTTATAGAAATTAAATTTTAAATTCAAACATAATAGAGGGATCAAAATTATAATTTAATTAGTTCCAATGCAATAGATTCATTCCTTCACAATGAAGCAATATGTGTTGGTAATATTCAGTTCTCTTTATGCTAATAATTGATGTTTATCTTTTTTTATCATATAGTTTCCATAAGTAAAATGGATGGTGATTGGTGAGACCGAGAAGTAAGACTTGTATTGTTGTGATTGTCAACTTTATTGAAACAATATAAAGAAATTGAATCAACAAACCAAATTGATAACTTTTGACCAAAATGATTAGTTTATATTAGTAAGGATAGAACAAACAGAATTTCAGATGAATATTATTCTCAATTTAGTAAAAATATTAAATACATTAAGAAATTATTAAGAATCTATAGTATTTAAGTGATTATCATTATTAAGAATTATCAAAATACTATTAAAATAATTTTTAAATAAAATAGTTTACTTGAAAAAAATGAATATATCAATGGATGTTTATGAAAAATTATGTAAAATAAAAGTTGATGATCGAATCATATGTTAGCATTTAGGAACAGACGTATGGTTTTATACTATGAAGAAGGAATTTATAAAATTTTAAGGGACAACATATTATCAATAGAAAAACAAAAAGAAATATATAAATTATACGATAATTTAAATTTTTTAATAAAACGACTAGTCCATTCATGTTTGTATCAATCAAAACAACATAAACTATAAGGGAACATGAAAAATGAAAGGAAATTATGAATAAAAAATAGAAAATTAAGGTGGGGAAATATGAGATGAACGACGACACTCAAACAATTGATGGTACTTAAAGAAATGATTGGCTTTCTATGAGGCTAAAGATCGAAGAAAAGAACAAAGATCTCAACCTTGTGCAGCCCTTATCAAGATATTTCGTTTTTCTTTTAATTCTCGAATACTATGAATAAAAAAGCATGGGCTGTACTTTATTATTTTTAATTTTATGCTACTTTACATCCTTTAATTATATAAAAAATTAAATAACTAAAGACTCGTGATAACATTATAGTTCTACTTATGAAGATTTTTTATTCCAATATTTATAGGCTGCAACATCTTTATATAAAAGGTAAAATAATGAAACAGACTCAGGTCTTTTATTTACAAGTTTTAAAGAATTTATTAGCTATTAAAATAACTTAATTCGAAAATCATTAGTTGGATTTTTCAGTGACCAGGTGTACAAAATTTTAAACAGTTTTAAGAGATAATCAAATTATTTTTAAATAAATATATCTAATTGGAAATAATAAACCAAAAATATCATCCATAGATAATCCATGATTAAGTATACAAATATATATTAAAAAACTACCGAACTCGTATATGCTATCATCCTAATGGTATCTAAAGAAGAGTATTAAATATTTTCTTTTGTTTTCCAAAGTATTTATCAGAGTAAGTTTAATGATTAATTCTTTCATATTTAAATAAAAATAAATGTTGATCATAAATTTTAAATTTGTTTTGTTTCTAAAATAATAATTATTATTTTATATTTTATTCATTGATTATATTAAATATTAACTAACTAGTTGGAAAATGTGCCAAAAAAATATCAAGCTAAACTAGTGAAGTTGAAAGCTTAAAGATACCCTTCCTACAAGCAAATTCTCAAAGTGGTCCATTATGGAAATAATAATTTCCCACCATCAATAATGTGCATGTCGATTGTACATCACGAATGGGACACCCCTCATTGATACGTCAAAATCAAATCAACTATACATATGAAAAGTGGCGTAACATATATTTATATATTTAATTCAAACTAAATTTATTAATTTTGATTCCAATTCAACATGATACTATTCATTTTGTTTTAAGTAAGATTAATATAATATATTTCATTATAAATATTTTATATGTATTTTAAATTTTAATTTATTTAATACTATATTTATACGCAACCAATATAAAATATTTATATATATAAATTATCAAAATCTACAAAACACTTTGTTTTGCTACCTTTTATATGATGGACAAGCAAAGCCTGCTTTAAAGATGTTGAATGACTAGGGCAGTTGAACCCCTTTATTTAGCTTTTATTTGCATTACCTTAGAGAGATGATTACTAAATTTATTTTTTTTTAAATCAACTTTTATTTGTTTGTTTGATTCTGTGGAGCATGAGAAGCTTTCAGTGTGTGGGTATAGTTAGAGGTCATGGGACAAGATGTTGAACCGGCTACCCTGTGTTTTTTAATAAATTATTATCGTTATTTTAAAATATTTTATTTTAATTATTAGTTTTTAATCATGGATGCTCGTATCTTGTATTGATCATTTTTATGGAAGAAGACAACATAATTTGGTGGGGACACGACAAATTTGGTTCCTCGATATTATATAAAAGCTTCAAATGTTGATGCATGTTTGATGTGATGCACGACCTTTCATCAACAAGTTTATAGACTATAGTAATATTAATAATCCCACTTTCATTTTAATAATAAATTAATAATGAAACCGAAAAAAAACAAGTGGTTCATATATAAATGGCACGAGTTGGAACTTTATTTAATGAATAAATATTAAATTTACAAATAAACTTTAATGCAATGTATAGTTGATATATGAATTTGGATTTGATGCAATTATATATATAATTTTAGTTTTTATTCAAATGTATATGTAATATTTTTATTTTAATTCGACTATACATAATATTATCTATTTTCATATTAAATATAATAATTATTTGTGTACGTCGTATTCAAACCTCAAATTATATGATGTCAACGATAATATTTTTATGAAAATTTAATCAAATCAATAATTTATACTAGTATTATATTTTACCAAAATTTATATATAGTTTTAGGATCGATTCCTTTATTTAATAGCATATTACTCACGAACATTCAGCACATACTTTAGTTAAAGATTGTATGCACATGATGTAAGGAGGGTAGGCGAAGGAAGTTCGACACATTTTCCGATAATGTAACAAGTGCACGGATCACCTCGCAAACCTAGCATGTGATCAATCTGAATTCTGAAGCATTAAGAATCTTAGAAGAACCTCCAAATAGTCTAATTCATTTACTTAATTTTGATGCTTAAAAAATAATATTAAGAACTTAGTTAAAATTTAATTTCAGTTTCATCTTTTTACCACAAAAAATCCATCAAGAACTATTTTTATCTATTTATATTTATAAAATTAAAAAAAATGTTAGTACTTTTAACTTACGGAAAACCCTATACACATAATTTACATAAATAAAATATTAAATATAATAAAATATTAATCAATTTCTAACGTTCTTGAACCTCCACGGAGCTTCCTAACGTTATTGTCCATTTTCAGTAGGTGGGAGACCCTTGACCATTAAACACTTTGAAAGATACAATCCTACCTTTAGATTAGGACATTTCATCCAAATTTATTGTTTACTTAGTGGCCTAATTCTCACCAATCCCTTTCAAAGTTGAGATTATTATTATCTTATTTAAGATTAGGATAAAGTTTTACCATTCATTTAACCGACCAATGAAAAAAACCATTATAATATCTTTCCTTAACTTTGATTATCTAACTAAAGATGAGCAACGATAAAACTTCGATAACCACATAAAAAAACGACAGAAAGAACAAAACCTATGTCTGCTTGACAAATAATATGATGTTTTTTTGTTTGTTCCATCCAATTCAATTTGAGTTTGATTAACTAAGGTCTGACTGCCACCTACCCTCCCTCTCTTAATTTTCCATTGTATAATGAATATGCAAATGGTGACCAAGATTCAAATATTTTTATTTTATTTACATAATATAATGGATTGCAATTTATTTATTTTTAATAAGTTTATATGTTCAAATAATTATATTTTCAATCAAATAAATATAAAAATACGATTAAACAAAAAGATCAAAACATATTTAAATGAAGTTCAACTATGACATGATTTAAATTTAGATCAAAACTAAAAGAAAATCCCACATACGATAATTATATATTATGGCACTCGAACTTAGACGTTTAAGATCCCAAAATCTCAATTTTAAAGTTTTAGTTTGATTTCTACATGTTGAGGATCTCTCGATTTCACCATCGATCAGAATTCCTAACAATATAATATTATGTTTTCAAAATGGTATTAAGATTGAATCTTCGTATTTTATCTTCATGTCATACGATGAGTTTCGAGAAGCGTCTGAAAAAGGAGTATACAGTTCGAATTTCGTATGAGACATAAAATATATGTAATGATTTATCTTCGAATGTTGAAACATCACAAAATGACTCGATTAAGGGCTTACGATGACAAGAACTGAATTACAAAGTAGACAAAGCTTAAAAATTAAATGACAAAGTTACATAAATTGGATCTATGCCATCATCATCAGATATCCCTCAACAATACCACATATACACAAATGAACGAAATTATGTTTAAATGACCCTATTTTTTTTGGGTCAAATTATAATTTAGAATCATATTTATTTTATTACTAATTATACTTAACTCTTAAAATTTTATATTGATTTCATCCCTAAAAAAACAAAACACAAATATACTTATTTTTCAATATTAATTTATATTTTTGAATAAATTTTGAACGAACAACTAGGCCATTAAACGAACTGAAAGTTCAATGAACTGTTCGATGAGAAGTTCGTTCATGTTTGTTTCTTTATTTAAACAAACGAACATGAACAATATTTAATGTTCGTTTAATTAAATGAATTAATACGAACAAATGACTCGTTCGTTCATTTACGTTCGTGAATGTTCGATAATCTGTTCGTTTATGTTCATTCATTTATGTTCGTTCGTTTATATTCAACTCAATCTTCAAATCCGTTTAAAATTTTAAGACCTAGTAAATTTTAAACCCAAATAAGAAATATCTAGATCAATTAAAGAAAATATAAACCCTAAAATTATTTAGATTTTTTTCAAATACAAACCCAATTAATTTTATGTTATTTCGTTTATTTTTATTTACGCTTATTCGTTTGTGTTCATTTATCATTTCAATAAACGAACACAAACAAACTACATTTCTTGACAAACGAACACGAACAATAAATTTTGTTCGTTTAGTTATTCGTATTCGTTTGTTCGACTAAAGTTAAACAAACGTACATAAATATATCATTGTTTGTATTCGTTCGATTCATTTACATGCTTATAAGCAACATGTGCATTTATGCATGTACCAAAAAAGACGTGTGTGCTATGCACAATCGAGGAAATTATTTATGATTATATATTACGAAAATAATAAGTTAATCTTAATTAAGAATTTTCTATGAAAGGGTTTCTGAATAATAAATAAGTTAATTAAGTATTTTCTAGGAAAGGGTATCGAAATGATGAACTCTATTATTTAACCACGTTGTAGAATTAGGTCATAAATCATTGACTTTTTTTGCTGGATTAATTTGACTAGGAATAAAATCAAACGGGATCTGTCGGTAAAACATAGCACGCGCCTTTGGTTATCAAGTTGAGAAAATTGTCTTAAATAAATATTTTTCAAAATTAAATTGATATTATTAAATAAATATAAACTGATTATTGACTAATTTAAAATATTTGAATAACCAATATATTTCTAGATTTTTTTTTCGGTAAACAAATAAACCTAATCTAACAATTAAACTTACTTTTTCTGTCAGTTTATCGTTAATTATCAACAGGGTAATATATTTGTAATATTTTTAATTTGACTATCAAATTTAACCAAATTTCTATTAGTTTTTGTCACTAAAAAGCTGTACAGATAAAACATATCAAAATTAAATTCTAGATATTCAAAAAAAGAAAAACCAGCTGGAAGTAAGAAACAAAGTACCAAACCGGAAAAAAAACCGGTGGGGAAACATGATTGATATTTAAAACCAGTGGATAGAAAGAGTTATTTCCATGTAAAATAATTTTAAAATAAAGAAAGAAAACAACCAGAAATCACACGCTTTTATATTTCATTTTGTTCACCGACGATCTTTCATTTTTTTGTTCTCTCTCTTTATAATCTCGCTTTCCTTGAGATCCAAAAGAAACCCATTAGAGTTTTCTCTTTACTCTATTTACCAGATCTTGTAGATTTTTAAAAGACCCAAAATTTTGGAACTTCTAAAGCTTTCGTTTGAAGAAGAAAAAAGCCAAATAAGGCTCGGCCTTGCGTGGTGGGTGGTAACAAGTAGGTCTTGGTGGGTGGCGAACGTGACTGCTTTTATTTGGCTGCCGAGAAAATCCCGTTCTTTTTATTTCTGGGTATTTTTCTGTTTACTTGAGGAGAACTAGGGAGGGAAGAAGATAACTTTTCGGTGTTTTATTTTTTTTGAGTTGAAGAAAAGATGCAGCAAAATCAGTTGAAGAAGGTTAGTTTCTTTCTTTTTTGTTTGTTCACCATTTATCAGTTTTCCCCCTTTTAACTTCAAAGTTTTGGCCACTTAGGAATGGTAGGATCTGGGTTTTGTGTATCAAAGTGTAAAAGAAATTAACCTTTTTTTTAAATTATTTTCTTGAACACAATTTGAAGATAAGCTTTTAAGTTTGTTCTTTATCGTTGACTTTTCGTTGTAAAATTGATCTGGTTTAGGTGCTATTGTTTCAAGTTAATAAACCTGTTTACAGCTTATTAAAAATTTTAATATATTTTTTGTCGAATAGCTTGGAGAAGGTATGGTCTTGGTTAAGCTTTATCAGCTGTTTTTTCTTTATTTTTTTTGGTTAGAAGGGGTTAATTATGTTGAGTTTTTACAGAATTGAGTTTTGGCTTTAATTTCACTGAGATTGATGAGGCATAATTTTGGAACTGAAGAGAGAACATATCAAATTTAAATCACACTTTTTTTCTTTAAACAAGAAAAAAACATGGATACACAATGAGAAACGAAGCTTGGATTTTGCTTCGATTTCAGGTTTCAAAATCAACTTGAAGCTTCAAAAATTTTGAACTTGTGGTGTAGGCTACATATATCATTTGTTTACTTTTATTGGATGATCGTTGATATCATTTTGATGTGATTTCTTGTCTCTTAATATTACCTGTTAGGTAAGGAATTAACTTTCAGTGGCAGCTTTTAATCCGTTGTGTTAATTTAGTTATGATAGTGCTTAATGTTGTAAATGTTTCTTGAAGAATGAGGATTATTCTTTCTCACTGTTTTTGATTCCCATAAACATGTTTTCACTTTTTCATACCATGATAAAGATGGTTACCAGTTTTTTTGGATTTGTTTAGATTTTGTTTTATTTACTAAAGATGATATTGATTTCCATTTTATTATGCTGGAGAGAATTCCAAGAATTGATTCGGTTTCAATATATTCTATGATTTTTGACTAATAGAAACTGTCAAGCTAAATGCAACATCTAGAAGCTGATTCTGTTCCCCCAAAGCAATGATTTTTGCTTCTCTTTTGAATGTTTTACTTTTGCATCTTTAATCGCTAATAAAGCTGTAGGAAGACTCGGTTTGGGTTTCATTCAAGCACTTTCAGGTTGAATTATTATCTTATTCACAACTAGTTCAAGCAAAGATTTGCATGAATCTGTTACATCTTAAACATAGTTCATTTGTGCATCGGAATCCAAATGATGTCATGCTCATGTTTTTAGGTTAAACTTGATTTTTAACTTGTTTGCTTAAACCTCGAATTTTGGGTGGGGGCATATACATTATTGTTAGCGTTATACAACCATGTTGTATTCGTTGTTTTGACACTAGCTTTTTGTACTTCGTTGCTCAAATACATGTGTACTTTCTGTAGGATTCAACTATGCATGATTCTGTTGTTTCTCCTGCCGGCTATTTTTTCCTTTTCATCATATATAATTTACTTATGGCCCTACCATGCATGTTTCTAATTTTTTTTCTCTTCTTTTTCAGGACCTAAAAGAGATGGAGTTTTTCGCTGAATATGGGGATGCAAACAGGTATAAGATTCTTGAAGTTATTGGAAAAGGAAGCTATGGAGTTGTTTGTGCTGCGCGTGACACTCATACCGGGGAGAAAGTAGCAATAAAGAAAATACAGGATGTATTTGAGCATGCATCTGATGCTATAAGGATTTTGCGAGAAGTCAAGCTGCTAAGACTTCTTAGACATCCTGATATAGTAGAAATTAAGCGAATAATGTTGCCACCATCGAAGAGGGAGTTCAAAGACATATTTGTTGTTTTTGAGCTCATGGAGTCTGATCTTCACCAAGTCATAAAAGCTAATGATGATTTAACACGTGAACATCACCAATTTTTCCTTTACCAAATGTTACGTGCAATGAAATACATGCATACAGGTAAAATATTGGCTTTCTTATATGTTTATAATGTTATGATACTTTTGTCAATAGTTTTTGGGTTGTTAGCAATTGATTGTCAACTTTTTTTACTGTTATTGATGAGAGGTGGAAGTTCCTCTCTCTAATGAAATAGATTCTCTGTGCCTCAGTTTGTATTATCTAGCATTTATATCCTTACATGCTGTAATATATAAGAAATTGGTTTTGATAGGGAGCTTAGTGTAATTGCAAACTTATACTGTTTGCTACAATTTGGTTGCAGCTAATGTGTACCACCGTGACCTTAAACCGAAGAATATATTGGCAAATGCAAATTGCAAACTTAAAATTTGTGACTTTGGGCTCGCGAGAGTTGCATTCAATGATACCCCAACTACAGTTTTTTGGACAGTATGTAGTTTCTCACACCTCAATTTTCCCCCCACTTAGTGAATATGCATATTTATATGTTATTTTCTAATGTTCCTTGCAGGACTACGTTGCCACACGATGGTACAGGGCTCCAGAGTTGTGCGGATCTTTTTCTTCTAAGGTATGGAATTTTTTTTTTCATTTATGGTCCTTAATTCTTTTCTTCCAATGTAAATGGCAACATGGTGAAACATGATATATGATATCATGGACTAAAAGCTTGGCATGGATTTTGCTTGCCTTTTTCTAACCGGCAGTCAAGGTTAAACCGTGTATTACATTCTAGTTCACTTAGGAGTTCAATATGTTGGGTTTTGTTGGTAAACTTTTTATAGACCTTTTTCGTTTTCGTTGTATCATGTGGTCTCAATGTTTATATAGAAATTCAATTATGGATATATTTCCCAACATTGGAATATGCTCATCAAATTTATCTTTTTGAGCTATATCAAGCTTTTAGCAAATTGAAACATTTTCATTACATAAAGAATACTTGAATGCTTTCTAATAAGCAGTAATTCCTAGGTTAAAATGATTGTTGTTCAGGGAGGACTTTGAACTCTCCTGGAAGTTGAAAATATCTGTCATTCAGGTAATTGTGTCGGGTTTTGTCTGTTTCTCTGTAGTGCTTTACTCGGGGGGTTACTTCTAAATTCTTCATATATCAAGGGTCTAACTTTTGTTGGTAACTGTCTGCAGTATACACCTGCTATTGATACTTGGAGCATCGGGTGCATCTTTGCTGAGGTATTGACAGGGAAGCCCCTATTTCCTGGAAAAAGCGTAGTTCATCAATTAGAATTGATCACCGATCTTTTGGGTACACCTTCAGCAGAAACCATTTCTGGGGTACGGCATCTTGTTCCTTTTGTGTGTGTGCTTGCGTGTTTTGTTTCCTTGGGGACTACTTTGCTTTTATTTTTCTAGAGCGAATTGGTGATATTTGTTTTACATAATTGCAGGTTCGAAATGACAAAGCAAGAAAATATTTAATGGAAATGCATAAAAAGCATCCTGTTCCGTTTTCAAAGAAGTTCCCTAATGCAGACCCTTTAGCAGTGCGGCTATTGCAGAGGCTGTTAGCATTTGATCCTAAGTACCGGCCAACTCCTGAGCAGGTGTGTTTTCTTTTCTGCCATAAATATGGCATCCTTCAAATATAACCTAGTCAGTAATAAATGGAGCTTTCTCATACATATCTTTATCATGTTTTACATTTCCTGCGTTTTTAGATTCTTCATACTGAAACTTTTTTCTGAATTAACGTGACAGGCTTTAGCTGATCCCTATTTCAAAGGCTTGGCTAAAATCGAGAGGGAACCTTCTTGTCAGCCGATCTCAAAGCTAGAGTTTGAGTTTGAGAGGCGAAGGTTGACAAAGGAGGACATCAGGGAATTGCTTTACAGGGAGATACTAGAGTATCATCCGCAGCTGCTCAAAGACTATATAAATGGAAACGGAGGACCTAATTTTCTTTATCCAAGGTTTGAATACTATCTAATTTACCTACTTTATCTATCATAAATTTCAATGCTTCTTAGCTTGTATTTCTCTCGCTCTTATCTAGTGTGATTGATTGTATTGTGACTTTTTTATTGCAGTGCCATTGGTCAATTCAGAAAGCAGTTTGCGTATCTTGAGGAAAACGGTGGTAGAAGTGCACCGGTTTTCCCTTTGGAGAGGAAGCATGTGTCTCTCCCAAGGTATTACACATTCCCTTTAGATATGTTAATCATGCCAGTGCTTAAGCTGCTTTGAGATGGCGGCAACGGTAAACATGGATTCATTTATATTTCTCATTTTTTATGGATTTCCTCACCAGTTAAATGACATATGTATAATATAGCACCTTTTCTTCCCCTCTCGAGATGCTAATTTGCAACTTTTATTCTGTTAAATTGCAGGTCTACGGTTCATTCAAATACTATCCTTCCAAATACGCAGTCGACTTCGGTTTTGTGCCAAAGTCAACAATATGAGGCTTCCAAAAAAGAAACAGGGACCATTGCTAGTAATCCAAAGACCGCTCGGCCTCCTCCTAGGGTTCCATCAGGTATGACTGATTCTGTTCTTTTACCTAAGGTTGCTTCTGGTCATGCAAGCATTTTTAATACTAAAAACTACTAACCATTAGGTTTGTGTACCTGTTTGTTTCACCATTTAGTTGATGCTGGGTTTTTTTTATCGACCTTTTGCTTTGTACAGCAAAACCAGGGAGAATTGTTGGATCTGTCATACCATACGAGAATGGAAAAAACACTAAAGATGGTTTCGATGCTAAGATCCTTTGCCGGAATGCAGTCCTTCCTCCACAGACCATCTCCCCTCATTGTTACTTCCGGACCACCACCACAATCCAAGAGAAGTCCGTAATACAAGCCGATAGGAATCCACAGGCCAAGCTGCAACCTCAGTATACCATGGTGGCAAAACCAGCACAAGGAATGGTTTTCGAGGTTAACAACCATCTCTATTACCAACCACAAATCAGGTCCGGCCAATTAACTGACGGAATGCCTATCGACACGAAACTTCTACAGGCACAGAACCAGTTTGGTGCAGTTGGTGCTGCTGCGGTGGCTGTTACCTCCCACGGGAGTGTAGGGACAGTTCAATATGGATTGTCTTAAAAACTGATATCTGCAGTTCTGCACCACAGATTGAGGGTGTAGTTAGGGGGGTTATATTTGGGGAAAGGGGATGAGCTTATTGCCCCACTGGGGTTTGCTCTTTTTTCTTATTATGCCCTTTTGTAATTATAGGTTGTATCATTGGATTCTACTAAATCAAATAAATTGCTTCAAATTATTTGGTGAATCATGCACATCCTATTTTTTTGCTTGACTGGACTCAAAATAATAAATTTTATTAAAAAAGTGTTTTGGTTTGTTTTCATTTGAAAAAAAAAAGAAAAGAACAATTGACACATGCAATGTTGACTTTTCCTATAGGCTTTGTTGTTCACTGTCCCAAAATATTTTGTAATATAATAATAATAATAATAATAAATGTTTGAAGTGTAAATTTTTTAAAGTTGGAAGATGGTGTTATTGCAATATATGTAATGAATACAAATGAAACATTAATAGAAACAATAGACAACACAAAATTAATGCAGTGATAAATAAATAATTCTTTTGTTATACATAATTTCCCTTCTTTTCATTAGCAAACACCATTTCCTTGTGGCATACAAATTATTATTATTATTATTTTTGCAGAAATAAATAAAAATTAATTTAGAGAAAATAATTTCAGTGACAAAAAATGCCTTATAATATACGATTTTAACCAACTTTTTTTGGATTTGCCAAAATGACCAACTAAATCGCAATGCGATCGATAATTCGCAACGCGATCTCCGATATCGCAAATCAGTTTCCAGATTCGCAACGCGATTCTGACTATCGCATTGCGATTTTCTAAATTCGCGTTGCGATTTTCCGACTATCACAATGCGAATATGTAAATCGCAATGCGAGTATGACTATCGCAACGCGATTCTGACTATCGCAACGAGATTCTGACTATCGCAACGCGATTCTGACTGTCGCAACGCGATGCTGACTATCGCAATGCGATTTTCAAAGAGCCATTATTATCGCAACGCATATATTTTTTCAAATTCCAAACACGAATATTAATATATCGGAACACTGAACCGTCCACAGTATATCTCGTAATCGCAACTCATAACCTAAAACCCTAAATCACAACTCAGTCCCATCTTCATCTCTCACTCTCTAAGGCGACATCCGTCCCCATCTCCGACGAAATCAACATGGTCAGAAATGGAAAATCAATCAAATCAACCACCGAGGGTTAGTTTTTTTAATTATTTTTATTTTAAAATTTTTGCATTATTATTAGGTTTTTCATATTGAAATTGATGATAAGTTTACTAGTAATTTCAATAATAGATTAATCATTTCATTTAGATTGCTTATTAAATTCATTCGATTGCTGCCAATACTGCTAAACTGTTTAGTCTTTAAACCCTGTGAATTTAGTATTTGTCTTTGTTTTGTCTTTTTGTTGAAGTAATGCAATCCATTCAAGTTTCAATTTTAGTATTTGAAACCGAGAATCGCAACGACAGAATCGCAATGCGATTTTAGTTTCGCGTTGCGATTTTCATTTCGCGTTGCGATAGTCATTTTCGTGTTGCGGATTTCATTTTCGTGTTGCGATTTTCATTTTCGTGTTGCGATTTTAAGTTTCAGAAACTATTCTTCTTCTGCAAATTGAAACTTGAATGAATTGCATTACTTCAACAAAAAAACAAAGACAAATACTAAATTCACAGTGTTGCAAATTTATGTTTGAAGAATAAACTACTACTCTTTATGTTTATTGTTCTTGGTATATCTTCACAGTGTAGTTTTTGGTATATCTAACTTGGTATGTTTATTGTTTTTTTAGAACTTTTATTCGGATCAATTGACCTTAAGAAATAAATTAAGCCTGGCCAAAACAATTGCGTCGAAACTTTCACCTGCACAAAGAAAAATATTTGAGGATACTTGCTTCGGGCCATGGCTGAAAGTACAACATCCGGGTGGAGATACTATGTTGACCCATCTGTTTCTTCAAACCATGACTAGCGATCTACCAGAGACTATACAACGTCGTGATGAAGAGATATGGTTTGATTTTCCACCGGCGTATACGTGTTTTAGGCGAGAGTAGTTTTGCTTAATCACCGGTCTACGCTTCGGACACGATGATGTAGGTCGGTATACTAGACATATTACCCGCCTATCATGGTTATCCCGGGTTTTTCCCGAGTATGCCTTCTAATACTTTTGCATGCCGGCTTTTTAGGTAGAGAGGCCAGACAACCTATTTCTAATGATCTAATTAAATTGATAGAGGACCTAAATGCATGTAACCTGTTTCCGTGGGGTTCATATCTATGGAAAGCTACATGGAATAAGTTGTCGTCTGCCTTTGATGATCGAAAAAGTTTGCGTGGTGATGGTTCCAAATACACTTTGTCAGGCTTTATTTGGGCCTTTAAGATAAGAATTTTTATATAATGTTTCCAAAATTATAATTAATTATTATTTAACAGTTACTAATGTTTGTTATTATATTGTTTGTAGATTTGGATATTTGAGGCCTTTCCCGCCATGTAGACATATGCATTAAAAACTTCTAATGATATTCCTAGGGCTATTTCTTGGAAGAGGAAACGGACCTTGCAGCAATGGGAAGATTTACTACCGTATACGATAATAAATAATGTAAGTTAACACAAATACTACCATATGTTTATAAACAAGTTATTACTAGTACACGTTTAACTTTGTTTGAGCTTTTATATTGTTAGGAGTCCAACACTCCATTACAGAGGCTGACACCCACGGAAGCTGAGCTTGCCACTGATTGGTGGCAAGCTACTAAGCATTTTTTTGATGGCACGGATGATGAGCAGCCTCCACTTCGAGAGCCATCACCTTACCCAGAGCCATCACCCGATCGACCCGACTATACACTTCCACAATGAGAGCCATCACCTATTCTGTCACATCATCGAGCCTCTTCTCTGCCATCACCTCATGATAGGCGACCGACAAAGATGCCACGACGTTTATCTCCATATTCTCTACCTCCACGGGATGAGTTAGGGGAGTTACGTGATGAGGTCAATGCCTTGCGTGAGGAGGTCGGTACTTTATGCGATGACAATGGTGCATGGCGTGTTGAGGTGTCTACTTTACGTGGTGAGGTAGCCGCTCTACGTGAGATGGTAGCATCGTTGCAGAATGAGGTTTATACTCTACGCAACGAGGTAAGTTTAATATTTTTCATATTTAACTTGATGATAAATTTACTCGTAATTTCACTTAGATTAACCATTTCACTTAGATTAACCATTTCACTTAGATTGCTTAGTAAATTCATTCGGTTACTGCCAATACTGCTAAACTGTTTATTCTTTAACCCTGTGAAGTTAGTATTTGTTTTTGGTTGTCTTTTGGTTGAAGTAATGCAATCCATTCAAGTTTCAATTTGCAGAAGAGGAATAGTTTACTTTCGCAACGCGAAAATGACTATCGCAACTCGAATTTGACTATCGAAACGAAAGAATCGCAATGCGAAATGAAAATCGCATTGCGATTCTCTCGTTGCGATAGTCAAATTCACGTTGCGATAGTCATTTTCGCGTTGTGATAGTCATTCGTGTTGCGATTTTAAGTTTCAGATTCTATTCTTCTTCTGTAAATTGAAACTTGAATGAATTGCATTACTTCAACCAAAAGAAAAAGACAAATACTAACTTCACAGTGTTGAAAATTTAAGTTTCAAGAATAAACTACTACTCTTTATGTTGTCATTGAATCTGCACTAAACCTATATGTTGTCCTTATAAATGTTTATATAAGTGATTACTTTTGGAATGTTATCTGATGCATTTTGTGAACAATGATAGAATAATGACTTGGGTGAATACCGTGCAAGTTTGAAATATATTTGTCTTTGTTTTCACTATTTAATATCATGTCTGTTTATTTACTGATTTATGTATTAATTTATTTTTAGCGGCCCGCTAAGGTGGATGCTCTACGTCAGGTTTTTCTTGCAAGACGGAGTTCACGCATCAGACGGCGTGCACGTGCCATTAAGTCTCCGTTCACCCAATAGTGCGAAGAATCTGTAAGAAAAAGCCCGACTCACCTGTCATCATTCAAGAGACCTCCCCTATCGTTCAAGAGGCCCCTATCATCCCTCAATAGTCCCCTCCCACCGTTCAAGAGGCCACTGTTATCGTTGAAGAGGTCCCTCCCAACATTCTAGAGCCTGATTCACACGGCATAATATATCGAATTATTGAGAAACCCCCTCACGTGCCGAACTTGATGGATGACTGTTGGCTTTCGTATAAGTTAGCAGCCAGTACCATTCCGGCAGATGAAGTGGAGAGGAAACAACTACTAGAAACAATTCTGGATAATACCCTTTGAGCTAAGACCGTAGTTGATTTTTTTCTACATGAGCGAAGCCAAGGGTGTTATGCTGACATATACAAACTCAACGATGATATGCATTTGTTGATTGAACGGTCTTGGTGGGGTGTGTTATTAGGGGTTTAAGACAATGGCTATTTCGATGGGGGGCAAGTCTTATATTTCTTCTTATATTTCATTTTGATTAATTTTTTTTTAAAATTTATGTAATTCACTAATATATGTATTTTTTTGTAAAACAGCATATTGATGCATGGGTGTCACGTCTTCTAATAGTAAGGAAATTGAAGAAAAATAAAAATAAAAAAAAATACGCGATATACAATTATGCCGACGTCTTTTCACGTAGTTCACTTGAAGAATCAACGACAGGAATCATATGTGTTGGCTAATGGACAATCTAAACTTTATCCTGCATAGTGGGAGGTCGATAAGGTTAGTATTTATTTTTTTTAAATATTTTAAAGGTGTTCATAAATAAGTGCGCAATTTAAATTATTACTTATGATTGCAGATGTTTATCCCTGTTTTGGAACGTACTCATTGGCTTCTCGTCGAGCTTCAGCTCCCATCCCTAAAGATAATAGTATATGACAACATGATAAATTACATATCATTGTCTGATTTGAGAGATATTATTAAGGGATGAAGCTCTCATTTGGCTAAATTATTGGATGCGATTAATTATTGGATTTATTCTGGAAACAAGAAGCCAAAGAAGTTCAATGTTACAGTTATCAGAGACGAGACCGAGCCACAACAAACGCCGAAAGCCAGAGGGGATTGTGGTCCTCTCGTATGCATGTGCTTGGAGCGTTTTACGACAGGAAGTACACAGTTTCTACCTCC